ACGCCCTCGTCGTCCGGCCTCCCAGGAGGCTTCCCAGGAGGCCCATAGAGGCCTGTCAGGAGGCCTAAGAGGCCTCCCAGGAGGCCCCAGAGGCCTCTCGGGAGGCCCAAGAGGCCTCTCAGGAGGCCTAAGAGGCCTTTCAGGATGCCCAAAGGACCTGCCGGGAGGCTCAAGAGACCTCACAGGAGGCCCAAGAGGCCTCTCAGGAGGCCCCAAGCCTTTTCAGGAGGCCCCAGAGGCGCCTCAGGAGGCCCAAGAGGCTTCTCTGGAGGCCCAAAAGGTCTCTCAGGAGGCCCAAGAAGCCTCTCAGGAGGCCCAAGAGGCCTCTCAGGAGGCCCAAGAGGCCTTTCAGGAAACCCAAGAGGCCTCTCAGGAGGCCCAAGAGGCGCTTCAGGAGGCCGAGTAAATCTCTCAGGAGGCCCAAGAGGCCTTCCACAAGGCCCAAAAAGCCCCCCAGGAGGCCCAAGAGGCCTCCCAGCAGGCCCCCCATGAGCCCCAAGAGGCCTCTCAGGAGGCCTAAGAGGCCTCTGAGGAAGCCCCAGAGGCCTTTCAGGAGGCCCAAGAGGCCTTTTCAGGAGGCCCAACGGGTTTCCCAAAAGGCTCAAAGAGGCCTCAGGAAGCCAAAGAGGCCTCCCAGGAGGCCCAATAGGCCTCACAGGAGGCCCAATAGGCCTCCCAGGAAGCCCCAGAGGCCTCCCATGATGCCCAGGAGGCCTCCCAGGATGCCCAAGAGGCCCCCCAGGAGGCCCAAGAGGTCTCTCAGGAGGCCCAAGAAACCTCTCGAGAGGCCCAAGAGGCCTCCCAGGATGCCCAAGAGGCCTCCCAGGATACCAAGAGGCCTCTCAGGAAGCCTGAGACGGCTTCCCAGGAGGCCAGGCACGCCCCGCGCGCCTCGCGCGCCACGCGCGCCACGCGCGCTACGCGCGTCCCGCGCGCCCCGCGCGCCGCGCGCGCCCCCCCGCGCGCCCCCCACGCCGCCCCGGCCACCATCCCCCGGTTAGCCTACTACCACTACTACTACTACTACTACTACTACTACTACTACTACTACTACTACTACTACTACTACTACTACTACTACTACTACTAGACTACTACTACTACTACTACTACTACTAGTACTACTACCACTACTACCACTACTACTACTACTACTACTACTACTACTACTACTACTACTACTACGACTACGACTACTACTACTAGTACCACTACTACGACTACTACTACGACTACTACTACTACTACTACTACTACTACTACTACTACTACTACTACTAGTACCACTACTACTACTACTACTAGTACTACTACTACTACTACTAATACTACCACTCGTACTACTACTACTACTACTACTACTTCTACTACTACTTCTAGTACTACTACTATTACTACTACTACCACTACTACTACTATTACTACTACTCCTACTACTACTACTACTACTACTACTACTACTACTACTGGTAATAATAATCATACCACGATGACGACTACTGCCACTATTATGATTACGTAGTGGTTGTGGGCGTCGTCGTCGTTTGCAACCGTTGCGGCGGGGATTGTCTTCCCTGTGTCATTGGTCTGTTTGGATAATGTTTTGGGACTTTCTCTCCCAGGGAATAATGAATGGTGGTCTATCTTACACGCGAGAGGATGTGTGAGCATCTTCTCATGAGGATTGCAATGAGAACCAGCGGTTGTGCTTGTAGTCGTGACTGTAGTCGTGTTTAGAATCGTGGTTGTGATCGTGATTGCAGCCGCGATTGTAATCGTAATCGTCGTCGTGGTTGTAGTCGTAATCGTAAGCGTCATATTCATCGTAGTCGTAAGCGTCGTCGACGCCGCGGCGGAGATGCGTTCCCCTGTACTGGTGGGGGCTGGATGACATTGGAGGTGGCGTTCTCCCAGTGAGTAGTGTTCCCTGTTGCCCTGCACGACAGAGGATTTGTGAGCACGGTTATAAGAGGATTGCAGTCTAGGTCGGCACATTCTTCGCCGAAGGCGCTGCTCACGATCTCATATTTCATCTCGTCGTTGTCGTCGTTGTTGCGCGGCGGGTGCTGCGGGTGAATCATCATGCTCCGCTATGGGTGGGGCCCCAGCCCGTCATCAAGGACGTCGAAGAGATACTTGGCTTCCACTGCCGGAGGGGGTCTGAAGACCTACCTCGGGCATCCGTTTCCTTGCCCGACGTGCGTGGCCGTTTGGGCTGGGGCGCTCGGCCGTGTCCGAAGAGCCCGGCCACGACAACGTGGCGGCAACCGTGTCCGGGGAGTGGCAGGGCGCCCGGCGCGCAGGGCGCCCGGCACGGCCATCCAAACGGAGGATCGCCGTCGCTTTGCTGTGCCAATTGTGCCGCTATCGCACCGCTATGAGGGCTCAAGGATCAAGGAGAGGAGGAGGAGGAGGAGGAGGAGGAGGAGGAGGAGAGGAGGAGGGGAGGGAGGAGGAGGACTGTTTCCAGCGCGGCCAGCATCACCGGCGGCGTCGAGAGCCCCGATCCCACAGAGAGAGCCAGGTCAAGGATACCGTTGGCAAACACGCGTGCAACTCTTCGGAGTCAGCTGCCTAGGGCGGGGCCTCGTGGACCAATCCGTCGCCCCCCGGGAAATGACAGGGACGAGGGGAGACGTGGGGGGGGGATCAGGGGCGAAGCAAAACAGTGCGCGCACGAATTCGCAGGGGTATGGGAGGGGCGCATTGCGCGAGCGGCCGTGACTCGATGGATGTTTCGTGAGTTCGTGAATTGGGGGGGGAGGGGGGGCTGTTCACTCACGTGGTTGAGCGCGTATGTCCTTGTGGGGCTCCGGTGGGGTGGGTTGGGGGCGGATGTGGAGGGGAAGGCAGAGACGGAAGGAGGGTGAGGAAGAGGAGGAAGAGGAGGATGATGAGGAGGAGGAGAAGGAAGAGGAGGGGAGGGAACGAGGAGAGGAAAATATGATCAGGTGAACGCATGATACATCAACGAACAGAGGAAGACGGGGAAGAGGAGGACCAGAGGAAACCCAATATGCATTAACGTTGTTGCACCATCCCGTCCCAACGCAACTCCGCATACATACACGAAAGGCTTCCTTGTCCCATGCAAAAAGCGCCTACATGAAAGACAATACTGACATGTGCCTGCCATCGAGGCCATAACATCGTCTTGAAAAGCAAGAGATGCCCTGCATCTTCCTTGCGGGCCGCGGGTATGGAATAATGCGAAAGGGTATGGTCAAACAATTCAGCGAGGTGTCCAACGATATTCCCGTGCTGAAGAAGCATTGCACCCATCCGCGCAACGGTCCACCAGCCTATACGCCTGGCCACTGTTCTTGACGAACTCTCAGGCGAGAGCTCCGTTCTGAATGGCAGGCACCCTCCACCCATGCAGCTCACACACACACACACTGTTCATTTCTAATTCTTCGAGTTCTCTTATTTCTTGGGGGGCCAAGAGATCCTTTCATTTCTAATTCTTCGAGTTCTCTTATTTCTTGGGGGGCCAAAAGATCCTTTCATTTCTAATTCTCTTATCCTGGGCCGCTTCCTGGCCACTGGGGGGCCAGGAACACCTAGAAACGAGCACACTTAGAACTGAGCACGATTAGAAATGAACGACGTGCACGTTCAAGCTTCGGTCTCCAGGCCCGAGGAAGGTCCAAGCGAGAGCCTCCTGTGGAAGAGGCAGCGTGCCGCGTCCCTGTCGCGGCCGTGAGAGCTCTCTTGGGACGAGCGCGCGCGGCGCCTCGGCGAGAGCCACGGGTTCACAAGGAGCCGCCCTTCACCACCGCAGCGGCTGCGAGATGTCGGTGCGCTCGCGCGCGGTGCTGAGGCAGGGGGCCGCATTCCGACAAGCAGCTGTGCTCCATGGTTGTGATTGTTGCAAGCCTACACGTTGCTCGTTTCTGATTCTTCGAGAGTTCTTTGACCTTTTGGGGGGCCAAAATCCCGTCATTTCCAATTGTTCTACCCTGGGCCTCTGGGGGGCCAGGAACAAGTAGAAACGAGCACACTTAGAAATGAGCACGATTAGAAATGAGCGACGTGTAGTGCGTAAGACGGACCTGCGCAGCGCTGCGGCGAAGGCCCAGTCTTGACGAGGAGCCGCCCGTCACCCGTGTACCCGTTGCAAGCTTTCGATACGAACGCGCGCGGTGCTAAGACGAGAGCCCCGCTTTGGAAAGGAGCTGCCCTCCCTCTTTGTACGGTAGGTTCGTGTCGCGCCGACGCGGCGGCGACACCGCCGCGGGCGTTCGAGGTTGAACGCCGCTTGTGGCCCAGAGTCGGCCTTATATGGAACGATCCGGCGAACGAGCAGCCGCCGATCGTCGAAGGTTGAAACTTGAACGATCGACGCCGTGTCAGAGACCAACACAGACGTCATCGCGGCGCTAACTTGCCGTTTTTGTTACGCGACGTTTCGAGGCGAGCGCATGCGGCGCCAAGTGAGGAAGCGCTCTCCGTCCATCTTCGTGCTTGCTGCAAGCTTTACGGCGAGCGTGCTCGGAGCAAGGGCGCGAGAGCTCTACGTTGAGAACGAGCCCCCTTCGTTCGTGCACATGCTGCGCATTTCAAGCTTCACAGCCACAAGTGGTAAGGAAATGTCGGGCGACCTCCTTGGCCGGCCCTACTGGCGCGTCTGGGGGTGCGACAGGGAGAGGTTTTCTAAGGACAGGGGGTTGAGGGAGGAGGAGAGGGATGAGGATGAGCAGAAGGATGAGCAGAAGGATGAGCAGAAGGATGAGCAGGAGGAAGAGGAAGGAAGAGGGAGGAAGAGGAGCAGAAGGCATGAGCAGAAGGGGAGAGGGAGGAAGGGTTGAAGGAGGAAGAGGAGCAGAAGGGTGAGCAGAGGATGGGCAGGAGGAGAGGGATGAGGAAGAGGAGCAGAAGGAGGAGCAGGAGTATAAGCAGTGGAAGGCAGGGACGGCGAGACGGAGAGACTGAGGGACGGAGGGAGGAGGAGGAGGAGGAGGTGGAGGAGGAGGAGGAGTAGGAGTTGCCCTGCGCAGGCCACGGACCCTGTGGGTTGAAGGAGGGCCTCGACGAGCTGTGCGAGGCCTCGCCTTCGAGGGTCCAGGCCGAGTCTGAGCGTTGCTTCTCCCTTGGAGGCGGGCGCCTTGGCTCCCGCTCGCGGGGCCTAGCGCTGCCAGCCATACTGCCAGACGGTGGCTCTTCTCCTCCCTCCTCCGCCTCCTCCTCGTCCTCCCCTGTCATCCCCTCCCTCCCTCCCTCCCTCTCTCCTCCTCCTCCTCCTCGCTGATCCTTCTCCTTCCCCTCCGCCTCCTCATGCTCCTTCTCCTCCTCCTCCCTCCTCCTTCTCCTCCTCTCTCTCTCTCGCTCCTCCCCCGTTCCCCTCCTCCCTCCTCCCTCCTCCTCTTTCTCCTCCTCCACCTCCTCCTCTTTCTCCTCCTCCTCCTCCTCCTCCTCCTCCTCCTCCTCATCCTCCTCCTCTCTCTTTCTCGCTGCTCTTTCTTGCTATTTTCTTAACTCTTCCTCCCCATCCCCAGTCTCCTCTCCGTGGACGGGGGGCGCTGTCAGCTGACGCGACGCTGGCCGCCATACTTCGTCCACTTCTCTCCCGCATTTTTCTCATCTCGCCTCCATCCTCGCCCCTCCCCCATGTTCCCCCTCCTCCCCCTTACCCCCCACCCCTCGGAGTGGTGATGGCAAAGAGGAGGAGGGGCGGAGGGGGAGGAGGAGGAAGAGGAGGATGATGAGGAGGGGGAGAAAGAGGAGGAGGAGGAGGACCAGAGTAAACCGAATATGCACAAGCGATGCTGCAATACACCCTCCCGTCCCAAGTCTCCTCTTCATACGCCTCTGCATGTCTTTCCACTGCGCTACAAGAAGCGTCCCCCTTACAAAGACCAGCACAGTTGGGCCAGTCATTGTGGCGAGGGCCCCACCTTGCTTCTGTTCTCTCTGACGCGTAGTTCGGACCGCGAACAATTATGATCATATAGTGCAGTGCGGTATCCAGCGATATCTCCTTTTTTCAAAAAAAAAACAACAACAAAAAAAACATCCGTGTGACTGTTGCACACGTTTACCCTTGTGGTCAAAAGTTCGAGGACGTCTCCAGCAACAGCTCCATTGTGAAATAGAGACGCCATAGCTCCCTGCACCGCTACGTGCGCTGAAGTTTCGGATCCGTAAGCTTAGCGAAGCTTCAGGCCGGACTCCTGTCTTGGACAGGAGCAGCCCTCCATCCTGTTAAGCGTTGCATTCAAAACGTATGCGCGCGGCGCCGAGGCGGTAGCCCCATTTGGAACAGGATCCGCCCTCCATCAGTGAAGCTAATCCTGGCATCGCTCGGACGTGTGTATTCTTTTCTCGGCGAGGACCCTGGAGGAGCATCCTGGACCATCGAGCAAAAAAAAACACGCACGATACCGACAAATGCACGAGAAATGGACGTCCGAGCGATGGCGAGTAATGCCAACCCTTAACACGATTGCGCGCGGAGCTAAGGCGAGAGCACCAGTTGCAAAACGGCACCGTTCCACCCGTGAAGATGCTGCACACGGTCAAGACAAGTGTGTCCGGCCTTGAAGCGAGAGCGACATTTTCAAAAAGTCGAGCGCGCGCGGCGTTGAGGCGAGAGGCACATTCTGAAAATGACGGGCCCTCCATCCGTGAAGCTGCGCACGGCGCTGAGGTAAGAGCGACATTTAAAAAACCGGCCGCCCTTTCATCCGTGAGATTGCCGCAATTTGTTCCCACGTATGATTTAGCATTGTGGTTTTACCTAGCCACAAGAAACCGTTTTTGAAGCTCTCTGCCGTCGTTGTTGCTGCTGTCGTTGTTGCTATTGTTGCTGTTGCTTGTGATGCTGCTGCGGTTGTTGATGATGCTGATGGTGTTGCTGATGTTGATGTTGTCGTTGTCGTTGGCATTGTAGTTGTTGGTGTTGTTGTTTATAGGGGTGGTGGTGTTGGTGTTGGTGTTGTTGTTGAATTCTCATTTCTGAAGAATAACTATTGTTGATCCCCCCACGGGTGCATACTTTTTTTTCTCAATCAAAGTGTGCCCCTCGACGCTCGCACCCTGTTTTTTTGACAGGGAAAGTCTTGATGCTCAAACTGGGCCCCTGGCTCCCGGGTTACAACAACAACAACGGTTCCCGCTTGAGACTTCCTTACAATTTAGCCAGGACCCCCGCTGAGACTTCCTCGCATTTTATTCGGGAATCGCGCTCTCGCTTGGGACTTCCTGGAGGAGGAGGAAGAGGAGGAGGATGAGGAGGACGAGGACGAGGAGGAGGAGGAGGACGAGGACGAGGACGAGGAGGAGGAGGAGGAGGAGGACGAGGAGGAGGAGGAGAAGGGCCTTGAGCATTGAGATCCCCATTGCGAGTGCAAGAAAGGTGTGCTTACAGCTGCTCGTCCTCCTGTGGTCGCCTCTGGTCGGCGGTGCCAAGGGACTTAGGAGGCAAACCTGCTGCAATACGTCTGAGATAATCCCGACCTGTGCGAGCGGGGCGAGTGTTACAGGGCTTCCCCAACAAACACACCTGCTTATCAGCAATGGCCCCGCACGAACCGCAGAACCAGATACGGAGAACAGAATGAAAGTTGAGGAAGGGGGAGGGGTGTAGCCAGCCCCCCGCAACATGGATCCTACCACCGACTGGTGGGGAGAACAAAGTGCCGTCGACATTGACACGCTCACAGCACCTCGAAGCCTGCCACTCCTGGGCGGTGGAGGCAGACGCAAAACCGAAGCACCTGAGACATTTGCGTTGACACTCCGTGAGCCTATGAGCCGAGAGCAAGGAGGAGAGAGCAGCAGTAGCGGGGCGGGGCGGGATTGGGGGAGGAGGGGTTTCCCCTTCATTGTTCCTATCCCTGGCTTCCACGACTTTATCTTGCTCGGCTTTAAAGACATCAAGAGTGGCCCGACGCAGGCTCATACGCACAAGCACAGCACGGTGTTCCTGCAATCGAACTTCCTGGCAAATAGGCAGGACTGCGGGCGACCTCAGCCGCGGCGTCAGCCAAGCTATCTGCAACTGTGTTCGCAACAACAAGGGCACTGCGAGATTTGCCCGCAACAATGTCATGTTCAGACTGACGGCTGTGGGTGAAACGGACAGGTATAAGAAACGGCGGCCGACCAGACAATTCATCACGAATACGGGCCCACAGGTCGGCGTCGGGACCAGTGGGATGTTCATACGTGCGGGTATACCATCCCGCAGCAAGTGGCTCAAAATCAGTAATATACAGCAAATACCCGTTAGTGAACTGAAGTGCTAGGAGGAAAGAACGCATCTCCCCTTGGCAACAATTTGTCGGCCCCCACTGATGGGTAGATAATTCAAGCAGGCTATCGCAAGCCCTACGCGTCGGAGCCTGGGCCATTTGGACTCAGGCCCCCCCCCGACGCGTTTACTGCAAATAAAATGGGCTCTCTGGAGGTCCCCTCGCCCAAGCAGCCCTCAGACAACCCGTCGAGCCCCTGGAGGTGCCACTGGTCCACCCGAGGGGCCTCGGGAACTTGAGTCCACCGTTGGGGCAAGCCACCTCTAAGCCAAAACCATTCATCACATTGTGCAACGGCGGCTGGACTCAAGCGGGCGCTAGCCTCATATGCTGGTGATCCCTCATTCTTCTCACACTCCCAGTATCGGTGCAGCAGCGTCTCAGGCGCCACGCTGCACCGATCGCAGCAGAGGTCGCCCGTGTAGCGCGCAAGCTGCTGCTGCTTGCGCTCCTTGGGCCAGCAACCTCCCGACGCCACTGCCACCATCGTGCTCGCAAGCTGGTGGCCGTGTGGCGCATTCTCGAGCTGCTGGATGAGGCGCTGGTACGGGTCCATGCCCACTCCCCGCTCCAGGCCTCCACTTCCGTAGTGGCTGCACGCAGAGGCCCAGCGGATACGTGTGACCGAGGCCTCCAAATCACGCAGCAGGTGGTCGTGGACGTCGCGGTGTCGATCCCCCGTGTAGGATTCGTCGGGGAACTCCCACTGCTCAACTCCACCCTCGTCCGAAGCATAATTCCATTGTGCAGGATGATGCGGGTCCCAGCCTGCCCTCATAAGTGCGAGGATCACGGCTGCGGTGGGACCCCGCACGTGGCGGATTTGGTCCGCAGTTGTGAGGTCATGCATATTGGCGTAGAACTTCGGCCACACACCGCGGTGATACCTCGTTGCATATCGGGGTGATCCCTCCACGTGCGAAGCCAGAGGTCTACCTGTTGCACTGGGGGTCGGACCGCGGGGTCACGACGTGGGGCCTGTAGATCCAGCACCGTGGTCAAGCATCGCCCGCGGTTCTGTGCCGAGCATGCTTGAGCCAGGCGTCGCCTTACCCATTGGAGGTGACGACCAACGGCTCCGTGAATCTAACGTCCGCATAGTCCAGCTGGTAGGCCCCCTTGCATCTGCAATTTGGCCATCACCTTGTATTTCCTGTAAGCACGTGTGAACCGTCTTATCTTCGCCGACATCGTGACATGCTTCTGTTCCCGCAAGCGTCGTGTGCTGCGAGCGTGGCGACCGCACCCAAAATCCACCTCTAGGTAGGCGTCCTGAGAGACTCCACGTGCAGCATAGCCCTTGCACTTGACCGCACGCACAATAGCCGTGGTGCCCGCCATCTTCGCCGTCATGACGATCGATTTGGGTGAGACCTTCAGGCCTCTGGTCTCCAGCAGCTGGCAGGTGTGCACGACGCAATCGGTGATATGGCGCACAATGGCCTTGCTGGATCCAGTCATACTTTGAGATAGGCCGTCTACCCACAGCTTGTGTCCAAGGCGAGGATGTGCGACAGTAATCTTCATCATCACAAAATGCGTGAGCGCCTTTGCAAATCTCGTGCCGCTGCGCAGCCCCTGAACCACCGAGCGAGACGGCTCGAAGGTCATGGTGACCGCACCTGATTGCTCCAGTGCTCTGGGCGATATGCATTGGGCCAGCTCGAGGTACAGCACAACTGCTGGATACTCGAGTCTTAAGGCCGCCTGAACCAATGCTGACCCAGGCATCGTGTCATAGAATGCCGCAATCTCTAACATCGCATGGCCATGTGACCATGGAAAAGGTGTGGGCCACTTCCTCATCCACTGCTCGTAGGAAGGCGTCCTGGAGGCAAGAG